GTAAGTTTAAATATTATCATCAAAAAGACTGAGAATATCCCATTTAGGAGCTTTCGTTAACAATTAATAAAACAAAATATGTCCTTATAAATTACTTGTAAATTGGAAATCTATTTAATAATTTAAACGCACAAATGTTAATATTACTAATGATACCTTACCCAAATGAACGCTGAACTAGGCTGCGAAAGGAAGAAAGCCTGTTATCTGCGTCCGAATGGTCTGTATCAGAAACATCAATCCTGCCCTCATACCTATTTGCCTGCGAGATTCTTGGACTCGCTTTCCGATCAAAGTGGGAATCGCACTGGGCCAAATTGGATCCAAATGCAAGGGAGGATGGTGCTTTAAATTCCGAGGCTTTTGGACTAAGGGGAATGTAGTGACCTATATTTTGGATGCCATGGCGGATCCATGAACTAACGCGATTTTGCGAAAAAGTCAATGGAATTTGATCAAAACTATCTTCATCACTATATGCACCGTCAATGTCAACAAAATTGACAGAATGACGAGTCTTTGTGGCTTCCTGACGTGTAGGCGTGTGACCTGCGGCCCTTTGCGGCGTAAGTTGCCATGGAGAAGGGTGTTCCACAGACTTCTGCGTTGCTGATTTCCCAGGAGGATTTTTCTCAAGGTCAGGTTTGGAGGAAAGAACGTTCCGAGTTTCACTTGAGCTTTTTGGGAGCCGAGACGGCCCGATACTACTTGAATGAGAAATAATAGGCGTAGATCCGTCAAGTGGAGTCTGAAAAATAAAATCCCTGGAAACAACGGGATTAATTTCTGGAGTCGGAGAAAGTTTTGAAGTGGGCTGCGCAAAAATTCGTCCTAAAGCAAATAAACGGGTATAAGTCCATTAGCGCATGAATAAAGCGTAGCAACTTAAATTAAAAATGGAACGTGTTATAAGGTTAGCTTTAAGCCGTAAACATTCCTTTAAAGATTTTATTTGCAAGGTAAGCACAGTATGATCTAATTATGCATCGACCGATAATCGAATCTGACAAAAGGATAACGTCATAATTCAACAAGGACGAGATAAAGAACTAATAACTACCATGATCTTGAGCCTTATTGCTTTCAATTCAATGTATGACCAAGGCTCTGGATAAGGAAGGCTCAACTACTAAAATGCGAGTAAAAATGTTGATTTCCATGCTGTTACGCGATTACGAAAGATATTTGCGTTGGCAGCTGTAAACAAGTTTACTTATTAATATAACAAATAAGCCTAGAACGAGAATAGGTAAATAGAAAAACTGTAAAAAAATGTAACAAAATATTTGAGTGAGTTATCCCTAAAGGCAAATTGAAACGAATGAATAATAAAGATCGAATACATATTTCAATTATTAGAAACAAAATCTATATTAATAATAATTCAATGAGGAAAACCTTTCGAGATATATACATAAATAAATCATAGCACGGTAAACGTAAATGTA